AAGTGTGTGTGGTACTTTTATTAACTTTTTTCAATGAGTTGGCAAGCTAACTAGACATATTAGATGAATATATGTATGAAAAGTGAAGAAATAGATAGTTTATTATATCGTAATGCATATATGATCTTTTTCTTTCATTTTAAATGTTTATCACCATTTTGTTAGATGTCCATCATTTGATCAAATGCCCATGTCAAGAGTCATCGTTGTTAGTAGCTGTTTTTTAGGTAAATTCATATGATGTTTTGCAGGTAAATTCAGATGACACTTGGCAATCATATGCATGTGTGAGGTTATCGCTTTAACAATATTAGCCAGCCCTAGCATTGATTGGAAAACCATTTGATCAATTGTTTCATTTTACTAAATGAGTAATTTAAAATGGGTCAATTTGGATTATTTACCCCACTTTAAACAATTGTAATTGCCTTAAAACGAATCAATTTGAAATTCTTCAGACCAAATTGATTTATTCAAATTTTATACTGCCAAATGGGTCAAATTATTTCAAAATGAAACAATTGGATAAAATTTATATGTTAAAAATGCTAATTCAAAGGAAGAGCAGTTGTCAACCTTAGGATGAGACCATCTTTTTGTTTTATGAATAAAAAATTGAATATAGTTTTCCCTTTTCATACTTAATGTCATAGTTACTAAATATACAAAGGAATTGTCCCTTTTGTAACTTAATCATTTTATTACTCCTTAATTCACGATAATTTATTTTATTATTACCTACAATATTGATGATCTCATCAATTTTCAATGCATAAAAGTTCTTTATGGTAGTTAACTTTTGTAAATGATTACGTAAGGATTTCATAATAATTATAATGATTATGACATAACATAAACGTTAGGAAAGTATCTTACCCATGCTATATTATAACTTATTTGATTTCAACCAAATTATTCAAAGAGAGAATAGAGCTTTAAATATAAATAATTTCTTATCGCCATAGTTAGTAAAATACAATACAAATCACTTATGTATAAAATACGTATGAATATATTACTTCGTCTATAAACGAATGTTATGTGTAATAATAGGCCAATAGACATAAAATATATGAAATTAATTATTTAATGTATTTATAATATGAAGATTACTGTTTTATTTCATTAGATACGGGGTATTAAACATGTTATACGAGTTTTTTTATATGTTTAAAACGGGAGTCATCAAATGAAGGAGTGAAAATGAAACAGTTTTGCAACAGTACTACGAAAATGAAAGCTTTAAAAGAATATAATACATACGTTCATATGTACGTGTATTAAATAAAATAATTATTAACTAACCTTACCGCCGCGAAGCGCGGGCCAAAAAACTAGTAATTATAATTTTAGTTGAAGTATCTACTCTACATCAATTATTTGGATAATCCTATATAATAAGATTCTTTCTATAACCAACAAATTATTTATTTAAGGAATATGATAAAAAGATATTAAATATTCATAAGACTAAGCTTTAGCTAACCAAACCATGAGGTTAAAGATTCAAAGGTTCTTGGTGCACAAACGCCCGACCTTCTTCATGTCAAACAAGGTAACTAAGCCAGCGTTATATGCTTTAACTTTCTTGGCCAAAAGACCAAATAAGTCCCATTACCATTAGACCATCACAAAATGATGCTTAATCTAATTTTGCTTCAGCACATAAGCAAAGGGTTATCATCGGCTTAACATACATAACTCTCGAGAGAATGATAAATAGGTTTGGTTCGATAACAAAATGTGAAATCTTATGCACTATTAGATAGAATGATCAAAGATGAAATTGTATTCTTAGACAAGTGGTGAAATGAAAAATTACATTGACGAGTGCTCATGAATCCGAACAATCTCACCCCTCAGCTATAGAATTTCGATCCCAACCATTTTTAAAGGGTAATTTTCATTCGGTTTCACAACATTCTTCTTCAAAACCAATTAGCTCCAATAATTCGAATTGTTGAAAGAACATGGAGAATGAATTTTCTAGCTTGTATTTATTTCTCAGATCATGTAGGAGAAGAAAGGCTATGAGAGAAATAAGAGCAAAGGGCCAACAATGATAATGGTTTACATTCTCGTTGTGTATTTCGGGAGGGGGAAAAAAGAAAAGAATGTTTACATTTTGACCTTAATACCATCCTAGAAGTTGAATTAATCTCATCAATAACCCTATTTTGTAAAAGAAAAAAAACTAATTTCTTGTATGATTTTCTATCGTAAATTTATCGTCAAACTAATCATCATCCACACAACAACAAAAAATGACGCATCATATAGTGACAAACGAGATAAGTGTCTTCATACATTACTTTTTGGCGACAAATATATAAACTGCCGCAATTATGTGCCGCTATATAACATTTTTCTTGTAGTGGATTGAGCTCCCCGCAACGGCGGCACCTCTCCCCTCCGCATCGACGCCTCTCCCAGTCTCCCCTCTGCATTGTCGTCGCTCCCCGCCTCTCCCCTCCGTCGCATACCAACCTCGATTAGCTCGGAGCTCCACATCCCGTCGAAGAGCTTCCACAACCCCCTTCTTCTTTCCTCGTACCTTTGCTTCCAGGTAGGTATTCCATTTTGTTCTTTGATTACTTCTTGTTGCATACTGCCTGCTTGATAATGAAATGATAATAATAAACCATCTTCCTGTATACACGTATGCATATTTAGATTCTTGTCAAGATTGCTTCTCCTTTGGTTAAGCTGATAAAAGAAAATTGGGTCCAAATGTGATTCCTAACCCAAGAAAAAAATTGCGCCAAATCAGTTGGATTTAGAAGTTATGCCCTAAAGTAGCATTCCAGTCCCCGATTGTGAAAACCCTATACGAACCACGCCGAGCAAAATCCGGACGATCTCGCCCACCTACAGAGCCGCCGCCTCCACCTCTTCGGTCGGACGTCGCCGTCTCTCCCTCCACAAATTCCCAACCATCCATAAATGATATTTTGATTTAAGCTCCTTCTTCACTCGTCTCAGCTCGTCGCTTTACGCAGCTAGCAAGTAGCAGAGATGAAATTAGATGTGGAAGTCTTGAGATACCTCTCGAAGGATGATGTCAGAGTTCTTACTGCCGTCGAGATGGGCATGCGGAACGTATGTATTGTATCATCATCTTCTAGGTATCTGTTTAGTTTAGTTTAGTTTAGTTCAATTCATCGTGTAATTTGATTGGTATTTAAGTTTTTCCTATGTATTTCACGTGGCAGCATGAGATTGTACCTGCATAATTGATTTCCGGATAGCTTCTCTTAAGTAAGTTTTCTTCATGGTACTCTTGTTTGCCGTCCTTTCAATTTTTGAATTTAATTTAAGGGGTTGCATTCCTTTTTTGCTGTAAAATGATGATAATGTAGGCATGGGGGCACTTGTAAAGTATTGAAGAACTTGCTCAAGCATAAATTAGTGCACCATGACTCCTCAAAATGTGAGCTTTAGTCCTTATGGTTCTTCATTGGATGTTTATCTGGGTTCAACAATGGGTTCCGGCTTACCTATCTTGGGTACGATTTCCTCGCGATTAGAACCTTTGTCAATCGAGGAGTCATCGCATCTGTTGGCCGTCAAATTGGGGTTGGAAAAGAGTCTGGTAAGTTATGAAATGTTTGTTTCTGTGACTTTATGGTGGAAAGAAACGCTTTTTTTGTTCCATTTTAGTTTGATTTCAGTCGTACAATGACAATATCTTGTTGAAATTTTGTTTGACCTTCGTCTGGCACATATATCTTTGAAGTGGCTATAGAGGATGGTACAGTTTTGGCTATGAAGCTGCACAGACTTGGTAGAACTTCTTTCAAGGCTGTGAAATCGAAGCGTGATTACCTGAGACATCGAAGTAGTTTTAGTTGGCTCTATTTGTCTCGACTCGCAACACTCAAGGAGTTTGCTTTTATGAAGGTTAGGAGGTGTCATGGTGCAGACTTGGGTTGTTCTTTTGTTATATTGCTTCTGACAAGTTTTTATTGCTGGAACAGGCTCTGGAAGATCATGGTTTTCCTGTTCTGAAAGCTGTGGATTGTAATAGACACTGTGTGATTATGTCCCTTGTTCAAGGCTACTCACTGTAAGTACTGCGCTTGTTTATGCATTAGCTGCAACTCTAGAATCATGAATAATGTTATATCCTTTAGGTTGTTTGCTGCCAGTGAGGAAATTCCAGAATCCAGAAGTTGTTTTTGAAACAGTTCTCGGTCTTATCGTTCGTCTGGCAGAACACAGACTCATTGATTGTGACTTCAATGAATTTAATATTATGGTATGTTATACGGGTCTCAGGCATGAGTAAACTTACATGTCTTACTTTCAACTTGCTGTCATTGAAACATGTTATTGTGTCATTTGTAGATTGATGATGATGAAAAGGAGACCATGATTGATTTTCCCCAGATGGTATCTGTGTCTCATCGAAACGCACAAATGTGAGCTATTGCTTTCTCTCTTCTTTTTTATGATATCTTTTAGTTTTGTTCAGTGTTAAATGTTCAATTCGTTTCTTAAATGTTCTACAGGTTCTTCGACCGTGATGTTGAATGCATTTATAAGTTCTTTGCCAAGAGGTCAGTCTAAATTTTGATTCAAGCATATTCAGAAGCCAACCCTCTCATCTCTTTAATATTTCAATATGACCTTCATGTAGAGTTGTGACTGTTTTCCTACATCTTCTTGGATTCTTTTCCCCTTCTATCATTAGTTTAAAACATGCCCCTCTGTATAGCGTTGATTAATGTTTGAGCTGGTTGAAGCATCATATACTCATTTGACATTCTATTCGTGAACTTTTCACCTTAGTCTGCTTGGCTCTGTAGCTAGAGATTCTAACAGGATTTTCCATATGTAGGTACAACCTCTCTTTTCAGAATGATGTCGATGATAAGAATTCTATAGAGTAAGACATTGACGAAGCTGGGAGACCTTCGTTTTCCTTGATTTCTAAGTCTTCTGGTTGTCTCGATAAGGCACTTGCTCCTAATGGATTCACACGGAAGGATCAAGATAATATGGAGAAGGTATGAATTAGGTGTTTTTCCTGGTAAACATTTACATCCTTGGTTCTTTATCTCCTATCCATACCAATCAATCTGTGGATTAACAAATTAGTTTCTTTCAAATATCAATGAAGTTATGCTTGGATTCTTTTGCTCATCATCTTGTTTAGTAGAGCTTTTATCTTTCCACCTGTAGCTATGTGTGTTTAAAATTCCCGCATGTGCTGAATTCAGAATGGTTTCATTCGTGGAAAAAATGTTCCTTTTCTGTCTTCCTTTAAGCTCTTGGATTACCTATAGTCCTTTCCACAGTATGACACCAAAATGTACTCCCATGGTTTTTGTTGTTGATGTTGTGGTTTATGCATTTGGTGGAATTCATGTGTTTCACCTGCATTATTACATTCTCACTGAAATGTAAACGTTGCAGTTCATTGAAGGAGGTGCTGACAGTGAGGAAGATGAGGATGAAGAGCATGTTTCAGAGACGCATGAAACCAGCCGCACAAGCTTAGATTCTTTGCAGATAGAAGAGCAGGTTCTGTTTCCTCAAATATTATATTCACTCTCTCTTCTCGTACAATTATTTTATATGGTGCTTATCGGAAAATATACCATTCAGGAAGAGCAACAAAATGAAGAGGAGGAAAAAATTGTTGAGAATCAACTGAGTGAAAAAGCACAAGGTGGTAGCCTTGGAACACAAGATGATAATGATGAGGTATGAATTTAAGTGTCCTATAGTATCGAGTTTCTTATGGTAGTGGTGAAAACTCCCGACTCTATGTCACAATTACTTTGTCAATGTCATATATGTAAGTTGTTTGATTATAGTTGCTTAACCTTGAATTTTGGGTCTACCTGAAATGATCCTATTCTTTTTTGGGGGTGGAAGACGAAGATAAAGACGAAGAGAATGCAACGGAGGGTGCTGCAGAGCTGACCAAGAGGCTGAACAACCACAAGAAACGAGCAATAGCAGCAACCCGTGGGAGGCATAGTCGAATCTCCTCCAGAAATCTATACAAAGACAAGGGCGGTAGATCCTCTCAGAGCTCCAAAGTTCAGAAGAACTTCAGTGGCTGGTGAAATCAGAGGCATATAATGATAAATTCCATTAGGGATTTACATGCGTTGTGTGGTCAGTTCTTTTGCCGCCTTGTTGTCTCAAAGTTTTGATATTTAGGAGAGAGAGAGAGACCAGAGGAGGAGATGTACAAAAGCCTTAATGATATGTTTTTCGATAAAGTAGCCTTAATGATATGTAATCAATTAAACAGATTATCGTTGGTGATCAAATTTTTTTTATTTTAATAATGGTGGTTGGGTGATCAAATTATTTATAACAATGTGTAGGTGCGAGCATTGCTATGAGCGCGTTGTTGAAGATTTGATGGTCCTTGAACAGGAAATCTAATATATACCATTGTTTGGTCCTTGCTCCAATCAATGAACCACCATGAGCTCCAATTTAAGTTCGACTGTCTAACTCATGTCACACTAACATTAATATATGAGCTTTCAAAAATCTTCAATTGGGCTCCAAATGAGTTTTTTCAATTTCCAAGCTATTGATGTTTATGATAATTCAGAGAGACTTGTCTCCATAAAGCAACGGATGGTCTTCTCCATAAATCATACGATGAAAGTACACCAATACCTTCACCTTAACAATACCCTGGATCTCTCCAACAACAAAAAAGCTCTACCATAATAATCTTAGTGAGAAAATTTTGGCAATCTCCATGTCAATCACATTAATCCTTTGCTTTAAAATATTCCAAGCGATTCAGTTGAAAACTGTGATCCATTTTCCACCACGAGAATACAAGGGGTAACAAAGAACACAAGTTGTTTATTTACTACAAGTAATCATTGACATCTAACACACAATGGTACTCGTGAGCTTTTCCAGCAGTGAACCACCTACTAGATTATTCTGTTTCACAAACAGAATTAGGGTAGCCTAGCACCATCAATCGCACCACAATATAACATAACATAACATGCCACACATAAACCTGTGCAATGTGCTTCTCTTCCCCCTAGCAGGAAGCAGAGGATGACGATGGAGAGGAGGAGAAGGATGACTACCCATGTTGCGATATCTTTTTGATACGAGCCAAACAGTTGTCTTTTGGTCGCGGGTGAGGCAAGTACTGTAAGGGGCACTCTGGATTCACGAGTTCGAGCCTGCAACAATAATCCGAAATCTCTAATCACGAAATCCGAACAGTTAATGTCAAGATCGAGTCAAACACTTGATTAGGGAAGAGTTGCAAGTTTCACTACTGCTTACTCATAGCCGACGAGGAAATAGTGTAAGAAAGCAGCAATTTCGATCTTGGCAAGATCGTTCCCAGGGCACATATAGGTTCCTGCTCCAAATGGAAGGAAAGTACCCGCCTTTGGTGTCAGATTCTGCATTTTTGGAAATTTTGATTAGTGTGATTACTTGAATTCTATTTCTCTTGCATAACATCTGAGGTGACAAATGTGATTCATCATGTTACATGGATATGGACTTACATCCCATCTGGAAGGGTCAAATGCTCTTGGATTTAGGTATACCTCAGGGTCCAAATGAACACCCCTGAACCAAACTAGTACCCTCCAGCCCTTGGGAATCGTATAACCTGTCAGAAGATAAGATGTTACATTTTCCCCTTGCGTACATTGACAAAATGCAGTATTTTGGAGAATGATCAAAGATTAATTAATTTGTACCATCAATTGACTCACCACTCATATCCACGTCTGTTTTCGCTTCTCTGAATACAACGAGTGAGAATGTTATGAATCGGAGTGTCTCATCTATCACCTGCAGGACACATTAGTCAACATCAGAACTGCACATGACTAACTAGCAAGTTGTTAAAGGAACAGACTAGATTAGGACATCGGGAGCTAAAAATTGAAACCTTAGATAGGTAATCCATTTGGCGTATTTCCTTGAGAGTCAATACACCCTTTTGATGGGTTTTCCTTCGCTTTACAACTTCCTCTGACTCCTCCTGATTAAGCATGTAGCCTGTTGTATAAGCAAGAGTTGCAGAATCTAAATACCGAATGCAAACTAAATAGAGGGAAATATGTGCCTGCATACCCTGGCTTTGCGAAGGCAATCAGGGTGTTGATGTAGTAACACCATTGCCCACATGGTGACATGAGCGGAGGATTCATGGCCAGCATTCAAGTACATCAAGAGAATATCTATGATCTCTTCATCTCTAAGCTTCCGCCCATTCTCATCTTCCACGCCCATCAATTCATCCATCATGTCCATCTTCTTACTCTTTCCCAATTGCTGCTTCCCACTCCCATCCTCCTGTTTGATTCTGCTTCTGCGCTCATCTAGGACTAATTGTAGCACATCCACCACTTTCTTACGCGCCTAACATATGAAATTTATCATTGAGATTGATTCTGATTCTCACTACAATCAAAGGGCAATTGTTTTACCTTGAGGGCTCTGTGGTAAGCAAAACCAGGGAGGTTGATAGCCATGGCTCTGACTCCATGGTTGACCGTGGTGTACTGTCTCTCCAGGGTTTCCATGACGTCCTCGCACTCAGAGCTGAGGAAGATGAACATTATGATCCGGAAAGTGAGCTTTCGGAGCTGGGTCAGCAGCTCCAAGGGCTCCCCGACAGAAGACCATTCTTCCAGAGCGGCGGCGACGTTCTCCCCGATGAAGGTCATGTATAGGGAGAGGGCTTCGTACCCGTTGACGGGGGTGGCGGTCAGACGTCGGAGCCGCTTGTGCTCTTCGTAGGAGATTCCGATGAAGGAGTTCTTGCCCATTAGCTCCACCGTGGAGGTGGGCCAGCCGGGCTTGAAGGCTTCGTCGTCCATTAGCACTCGCTTGCTTGCTTCCGGGGTTGTCACGAACACGCTGGGCCGTCCAAACATCAACGCCTTGTAAAGCCCACGCCCTCCATATCTGTGGCCCAATGGATTTCAAAGAAAAGCAAAACAAAACAGTTCTTCAATCATATAAAAAAGGTTTCTAAATGGAATTATTTTTGGGTAATGACTATTTATTAGTCAAATTTTTTTGGATTATTTTTTTATCGTAATAAATAGTCATTATCATTATCTTTTTGTCATTGATAAGTATATAATAAGAGTTAAAGCATATCAAGCAATCAAATGATGAAAGGATATTAGTAAATATTAGATGGACAACCCTGTTGTACCTTCAATTAGTAAAGAAACAAGAAAATAGAGAAAAAACAACATTCGCCAAACATTTTTTCTCCAAAATTGCTCCACCCAAGCCGTGAGCACATCATTTTGTTTTATCATTTGAAAAAAAAATATATTATAATATCCATTATTTGTATCTCTTGCACTATTACATTATTCACAATCTAATGAAAGCAACTAGCGTGGGGCCCAGCCATCTGGCCGGAGTAAGGTGAGTTATGAAATTTGATAATGTAATAGGGTGTATAGCTTATTGTTGTATAGTTTTTTTTTGGGAAACATGTGATAAAAATAGTGAATTTTAGTAGGAAAGAGACATGAAAGATGCAACGAATCAAATATTAGTCTTATGAACCAAAATCAAGTACCTGTTACCTTGTGAAACAATATTGTTTCTGGTAATATGATGAGGTGGAGTAAGTTTTATAGAAACCGAATTCTAGAAACTCGAATAAAAAATCGCCTATCCCGCCGATTTTCGGGAAATGAGCATCTCACAATCGTTGCTAGCTTTTACTCGGCCCGTTGGCCAATTAATTTGCTTTATAAAACTTTCATCTTGTCATCATTATGCTTTGTGGTTTTTTGCCAAGCCATGATAAAATCTAAAGAAATCAAGAATGAACAACACGATTTGGGAGAGGAACCACCGTTCCTGTATCCCTAGAAAATGTTGGTAAACACTGACTCACCTGCCAAACTGGTTTGGATTGAGATTTTTATCGGGTATCAGGGAACCATGTGATTATAAATTAGACTTGATCAAAACGGGCCAAAACTTGAAATTCAGCTTGTTTGTCCGAACCATGCAAAACCTAATTATTCTTTACTTTTAAACTTTCTATTTGAAAATAAAAATTAATAAAAAAAAGAGATGACTGCAATTCGCCATTTGCACATCACTGATTCGGGAATAAAATTATAGAATTTCGAAAGGAAATTGAAAATGTTTAGGATCGTTTTAATGTTAAAAATAACCATATAGATCTTTCTGTTTAGTTTTTTACTAACAAATACCAAACGATTTTATATAATATACACTATAATTTAATCATTACGATATCAAATAATTACATAATATATATTTGAAATGATAAAAATTGGACTAATTGGGTTGGTCGAGGTTGAACCATTGAATAACTTTAAAATACATTATATTTTAGCCACTAAGATATAAAATAATAGCATAATATATATTATGTTAGAGAAAATAGCTTGTTTTAGAATGACAAACCCATGATGTTCATTTGTTTTACTTGATGGGCAAATACCGTGTAGGTCAGACCCATTCAACTCTTTTATTTTATGATTAGCGGTTAGCCCATTAGAATCCATGCATTAGTTTATTGTTAATTTTTTTTTCTTTTAGCAATAAAAAGGAGTATTGTTTTTTCCTTTTCATATATATTTTACGACCACAGAGAAATAAAAGGACTTAAAGAAAAAATTGACACTCCTGGACCCGTTTAAATCTGCATGTGTACGGTAAGTTGGCCCGTTCCATAGAGGAAAAGAAAAAAAAATTGACACTCTCTATTCTATCCTTCCTACAAACGCTCCTGAAGCAGGGAATTTGAAATGGGGGAAGAGTTTTTTTCTCTCTGCAATTATATGTTTTTAATTTAAAAAGTTATAACAAATGTACTTAGTGTGATTGGTTATGATCTTTGCATTTCTTTAAAGTGGTCATGGTTGAAATCCTACTAATTGTCTTTTTAATGAATAAAAAAAGTAATTGTGAAGACCAAAATGTCCTTCCTACTTTCACTCTGGATGCAGAAAATATGAAATGGGGCTTCAAGTTTTCTTATTTGGTTTTTAATTATTGTGTAGATTTAAGTACACAAACAATGGGGATGTAGCTCAAATGGTAAAGCGTCCGCTTTGCATGCGGGGAGGTACAGGGTTTGATCCCTTGCAATCTCCACTTGAATCTTTGAATTAACTTATTGGTAATATACAACTTTCAATTCAAATTTTGAAATAAAACTCAACCTCTTAATAGTTTTTATGAATTTCAAAATCTTCAATATTGAGTGGATCGAAAGATGCTCCCATTCAAACTTAACATGATCTTTTAAAAGAGAAAGTATATTAACAAACAACTAAGGGCCGGGACCCTTTATTTGTAATTCGAATATTGTGACACTGACTTCCGAGCTAGGTTACGAATGATTGAGAATGCTAGCGTCCAACAAGGATAATTAGTTAATTCCAGCGGCTGTAGGAATCTTTTTAGTTTAAGGATTACTAATGTACATGAAATAGGGATGATAAAATTAATTACTTATCGTCAAGCCTGATGTAATTAATTAGGACACTGTAGTACTTAAAAAAAAACTGCTTCTAGTTTGAGCTTGTTAAAAAGGAAACAGTTATGACTGATAAATTATTCAAATCAACTTTTGAACGAAAAAAATATTTGAAAAGGCATACTAAATATAGGCGTGATGATTTCATATGAGAATATTAAAAGAATGTAGCACTCACAGTCACAACAAGAGAAGCTAGCACTTCCTCATTCGCATTATGGTGTTTCTTTCTTCTCCTTTTTAGGATGCAAAACTTTGTCGCCTACCCACCTTCATCATATTATTCTTTTACCCACAAAGCCAACCCATTCCCCCAGTTTGTGTGTGTTCGTCGAGTCACTCACCACTTGGCTGCCGCACGCAGCATTCATTCTGCCAATTAACTTTTGGTATAGAAAACAAATTATCAAGTTAAGCACCTAAAAGGATTGTGCAGCTTCCCGACGAGCTATGTGACACGATTCAAATTTTTTATGATCAGGAACTCTTATCTGTGGTCGTTATTTTGGTCCCACCGGAGCAGCGGCTGATCCAGGACATAATAGAGCACTGGACCGCATTTCATTAGAACATAGATATCGTAAAAAAAATCATAGCTTTTTTTTACAATATCAATTGCACACGTCGATCTTCAAATATAGCGAATTCATCAATAAGGGAATCTACATCCATACCAATACCATACTCTCTTTCAAATAAAATAGTTAACCAATCGACGAATAATTTATTGCTCATTTTGTATCGTAAATCATTTTCACCTGTGTCATTGTTCAAAAAGCTTCTCTTCATAGTAGTTGTTGAAACGAGCAATGTCAACACTAAACACATCAATCGACTAATCAATTTGTATTTTGTGTCCATCCTTATTTTCACCAGTTGCTCTAGTAATTTTTCAAGGGAACAAACTCATTTTTTTTAGTCTTTTACGTTTTAGACTTTTAGAATCATTCGAGTTAGAATTTCTAAGCTAAATTTAGAGTTGTGATTTGAATATGTTCATTTGACCCATTTTCCTAATAACATATAATCTTATTATAAAATAACACTAGGCCAAATGACTAAAATCGATAAACTCATCAGGACTATACTAGTTCCGGATCCAGAAAAGGGCTGGGCCGTGGCTCGGGGTGGCCACCCCTGGATCCGCCACCGCACCGGAGACATGTCAAAAATTCGAAACTTGATATGGGCGTTTAAAGGAGGTGAATGCAATTCGATTTCGGTTGCATAAGATCTATTATTTTTATGGAAAAAGTTAAAACCAAATTTGCTCAAGCACATAAGGTAAGCAAATCATCATTAAATTGTTGTGAAGGAGACGAATCATGAAGAAATGGAGGAAGATGTAGAGAACCTGTTGGTGAAAGTGCGGAGGAAGGAATCGGGGTCATGAGACTTGAAAGCCGAAAGGAAAGACCACATGTTGCCGATGAGTGGCCAGCCGTAATCCCCCGGCGGCAGCCGCCGTCGCGTTTCTTCCGGCAGGCCCGACTCTTGCCACCAAACGTTCCCTCTCTTCGCCGCCCATCTCAGGCTCCCAATCACTACGACCGCCACCGCTATCCCCACCGGCGCCCAATGATAATTCCACCACCCCTCCATTAGTCCCTTCCGCCACTCCTCGCTCGCCAAAGGCATTTCGGTTCACTTCATATATAGCTTCTGCGCACAGCCAGAGGCGCACTGATGTTATTTATATGCACAGATAGAAATCCTGCCACAAAATGAATAATTTACAAGTTAAGTAGTTTTATAAATAAATAAAAAACTGAACTATTGAAAATAATGATTCTTCCATCATTTTTTTTTAAATTTTATTGAAGGGAGGCAAGCGCCAGAGGATTACAAACTCCTAACGGCCAGGAGTTGACCACAAAAGCTCAGGACAAACTTAAACAAGGCCAAAACAGAGGATCAGGGAGGTAGGACAAATCCACACGGATTATATGCTTTCTGCTCTAATAACTTGTCTAGGAAAGCTAATTTCCAAAATGGCATCTCTGCATATTCTATTGAGCTCCAAAGAGATCAATTAGCTCATGCGTACCGAAAGGATATACAAGTGATTCTTCCATTAAATGTTTGATTTTAAATTAAGAAATTCCATCATCTTTAATGTCTTGACACTTTCCATAATTTGGCGTTTATTGTGTAACTTAACTATACTATTTTTGTTAAGCTAGTTGCTCGTATTAATCATAAATTAAACACCACTCACATGTTCTTGATATAATAAAGAAGAGTTTCGAGTAAGATAACTACGAGTGAGATAAAGAAAAAAAAAAACCACGACTCAAATCAACTGGTCAAGCACAAATTAATAATTACAATTTGATTGACTTACAATTTAGAAATTTGATTGTTAATTAAAAATACATTCAAGTTTTTTTTTAAATACAGAGGGTTGTATGATTTTAAGTTTGATGAAATGTTAAGGATAATTAATATGTTGTTCAACTAATTATTCTAAAAAATAAGAATTGAAAAAGGTTGTTCCGTTCTTTTTTATATCGATTTGATCATATGCCTATCAATTTGGAATTCTAAATTGAACATTTGAATATTGATGTGATATAAGTGTTAGAACAAGGAACATGGGTTATTTGGCACATGTGTTTGCTTAAGAGTAAATTAGTCAAGAACGTCGTCGTTTAAGGGTTAGCACAGATAGGATACAGCAAGCAATCGTGCAAACTTGCTGAGTCAAAGTTCTGTTAGTGAGTAGCGTATCTTAAGGGTAGTGGGCAAGAAGATAGGAGTCGTTTTCCCATCCCAGCAAATAGAAGATAGGAGTATGATGTATTTAAACACTCTTTCTACATTGAATAAAGTTTTGTCAGTTTGCAGAGATTTGGCTTCACAATAAGGGTGTTTGAATTTTCACTATATGTTAAATTCAAGTACAAACTGTTATTTTGGTGTAATATTATATGTTGATCAGTTGATGCTCATATGTTAGATGGAATTCATCAATTCAATATAATTTATTATTGTAAGAATAGTATAAGAATTTTTTTCCATATATCAGGGCTAAACAATTATTAACATTAACCAAAATTAGTGAAACCGTCCCGGAGACTGTACCAGAAAAGTTAGTTATAAAATATTTTATGATAAACCCGTAATTCAACCGTTAATACCGTTAAATATCATATACCGATTTAGTCTCAATACTGTTAATTTACGATTGAGCCACAAATACGATTTCACAAACCATATCAATATGTCATTAACCCTCAATCCACTTTCTTAGCCAGGCCAACCAACTAATTAAAATGAGTTGACAACTTGTATTAGGGTTAACACATGGTAGGCCAATAGTTAAAGAGGCAGAAGATGCTTGCTACTTAGCTGGAGGCCATGATATCTTACTACCTTCAGCCTTGCCCTCGCTTCCTTCGCCTTTTCACAAAAGCAGGGGGAGGTGGGTAGATTGCAAGGGTGTCAAACCGGTTTATATCATTGTGTCGGTTTTGCAAGTGGAATGGTACGACCGGTGGTATAACCGGTTTGTGCCGGTTCATATCGGTTTAAAAAAAATGTGAAAACAATTAATATCCAATGTATCTAATCATATATAAAACATATTTGTGGACAATTTAGTTACAATCCAACAAATATCATCAACTTTTAACTATTACATTAAAAAATGAATAATAAATTAATTTTTTATTCATTAAATTCATTAAAATGATGTCATTTTACTTAGAATGGTTAAGTCGATCATACCGGTCATACCGGTGTTGTCATGCCGGTTTCATGACCGGCACAGGTTCAACCAGGTTCAATCGGGTGGCATGCCACCGGTATGACAACCATGATAGATTGTAATTTCCGGGAAATGGAGGGGCAAAGGGTAAATATAGCTATTTATATATCTAATCCCATTCCAATCCAGCTTCCTCTTTGGAAAGTCTTCTTCTTCCTCTCCGTTTCGGTAGCTCTGAACCGAAACCATAGCCTCCTCCATCTAACCCTCCGACCGACCGACCGCCGCCGCCTCTCTTCATTCTTCTTCTTGTTCTTGTGATGTCCTCTTCTCCCCCACATCGTATTTTCTAAGGAAATGAAGTAACAACAAGAGACAGAGAAGAAATCCAATCTATTTTAGCTCCCCTGTCTCTCTCTTTCTACCGTCACTGGAAACGATGCTGACCGTGAGAGAGAGAGAGAGAGAGAGAGCCCTGGTCTCTGGGTAGGCCTCCTTCATTCGATTTTGGTTGTTTTCTTTTCTAGAGGTGATTCAGTTTTTGCCTAGTGTATTCTGACTTATGATTTGGTTTTAATTTTTATCTTCCTTTGGGTGCGAGGGGGCCGATCTGCAGAAAGGGAGGAAGCAGAGGAGAGCGGCGGCGCGGCACCCCGCCTATGAGTTGTTTTTGCCCTTCTGGGTTCGTTTCTGTGTGATCCTAATTTCCTTTTTTGATGGAGGGTTCCATCCAGTAGGATCTGCAAAGCTTGGTTATGGTTATGAATCTTTGAGAAAAAGACGTTTCAGTTATGGTTTTGCTTGTTTGTGGAAAGAGGGAATGTTATTGATGCGGAGAGGGGATGTCCGCGTCTGAAGATAAGAAATTGATTATGATTGTGGGGGAGATTAATTGAGAGAAAACTGACCTGGTCTTGTACTCTTGTCTGGTCTGGTCTGGTCTTTATTAATGATGATCCGTCATTTTCAGCTGATGGCTTCTGCTGCTCCACCTCCACCTCCAGCCCCAGCCCAGGGAAGAAAAAGGAAAGCAAAGTCTCTCTCTGTGTTTTTCAGTGTGTTCCCTTTCTGATCTAAATTCTGCCCCCGGAATAAGAGCGAGCGAGCAGAGGAGCTGCTTTTTTTTTATAGGCAGCTGCTGCCGATCTTCTAATAGGCTGCTTGACGTCGGTAGTGCTGTTGGTCAATTGGTGTTGGCTGGCAGCAGAGCCGGTGTTGATGCCCAACTCTGCTTGCAATGCAAACTAATAATGGTAAAGGACAAGTTAGGCGTCGCGACATCATCTTCTATTCCGCCGTTCCGCGGTGATCAGGAGGTGGCTGACCTCTGCCTAAATTTTAAAATAGTTCCCAAGCGAGGTGGGATGATTTTGAGTATGTTTGATTGGAAAAAGTTGCAGCCCAGCCCAGGCCGGTTTTCTTGTCATTATCATCGTCATTGTGAAACTGATAGTCAGTCAGTCAGTCAGTCAGTCAAGTCTCCATGTATGACGCTATGAAGTGGACTCTGGTGCTTGAAGAAGTAGGGCCTATTTTTGGAGGAAAGCCCAAACTTCACACTAGTAGCAGAAGTCGGCCCACTTCATTCAAGAAAGTACACTTAAGAGGCCTTTTAAGTAAACTATAATTCAAAACTCTATACAATTATTTTCTCACTCTCAATGTATCCTAATTATACTGTTATTAAACTATTATCCTAGCCCATTTCCCATATTACATTGTCAAGTCAAATCAAATATGATATGAAAGATATTGGAATATAACCTCACTTTTTGTTACACGCGCTCAAATTTATGGTTTCATCATTGAACGGAAGAGATTGGATTATAGCCTCTTCTAAGCTAGACGAGCTGATCACTACAAAGAATATGATTTTCAGCGATTCAAAGTTTGACGAGAAGAATTTTTTCTCTGCTAAATGCGGGATTTCGACGACGAATCTGAACTATCTTTTGTAAATTGTCACAAATTTGGTGGAACAGTGAGAAAATGGATTTCGTGACAACAAATACCTTTTCGAGCATAGTGCTTTGTCAACTTTTCAAACGATACCCTTTTAAATGTGGTTTAAAATACAAGTAAAAACTTGCAATAAATTTAGAAAATAGATGAGCTTGCAGGTTATTTTTGTTCATCTCCGTTCAAGCTCCTGGCTCCTTTATTGAAAGGAAAGTGATCGGATTATAATCTCTCTTGAGCTACACGAGCTGAGATTTTTTTTATTCCGCCACTAAAAAAGAGAGATGGAGTTATAGCCTCTCCCAAACTAAACGAGCCTCTCTCAACTTTCCACCTTAAAACACTTGTTACACTTAAAAGTCCATTTCTAAGCATGATCACTACTCTTTGCTCCTTGCCCATCATCATCACCATAATCTTCTACGTCGTGGTTCTTCTTCTTCTTCAAGCTCGCCTTGTACCCTCCATACAAGTGAGAAGCAAAACCCCACAGGCACAGAGCCAACGCCAACGCCTTCTCCGCATTAAACCCTTCTCTCAAGAAGATCACCGCAAACACCTGCTGAACCGGGACCAGAAGCGACGTGACCAGCCCCGTAAACAGCGACGAAGAACACAGCAACAAACCCAAACCTCCTATCACCATAACCTGCAACGCCATCACCGCTCCGAATACGACAACGTAGTACTTGGTCTCCCCGAGACCAAACTCGGCCGCTTCTTCCGACAAAGCCTCGAAGTCCCTGTTCACAACCATGGGGACGGTGCAGAAGATGGTGGCGAAAAGCGACACCACGAACTGGACGTGCATGGCCACGTCGAACGTGACGGCGACTCCGGACTTCCGTTGGGCGAACTCTAACGCCGTGATGGAGAAGCCGTGGAACGCGGCAGCCGCGATCGTCATGACGAACCCGAGGACGTATTTGGTCTTGGTCTCTCCCTCGGGGATGTCTCCGTCCATGTGGGCCCCGAGGATGACGGAGCCGAACGTCATGAGGACGACGGCGTTGATGGAGTAGTGGGTGAAGTTTTGTTTGACGATGAGGTAGGCGAAGAGGGCGGTGAAGGCGAGCTGGGAGGAGCTGACTAAGGAGTTGACGGAGACGGGGAGGTAGGAGGCGCCGAAGGAGTAGAAGTAGTTGGTGGCGCCGAAGAGGATGCCGACGACGGCGCTGGAGCAGAAGAGCCACGTGGTGAGGACGAAAGGGTTATTGCGGCGTGTCGTGTAGTGGGAGATGGCGATGGGGAGGAGGAGGATGGGGAAGCCGGAGTTGACGCTCCATGCGGCCAGCCACTTTCGGGTGCCGCCGTGGAGGAAGTACATACGGGAGAGGATGGGGCCGCCGACCTGGCCGACGGCGAGGAGGAGGCAGTTGAGGAGTATGAGGAATGTCTTGTTGTGGTTGTGATTGTGAGGGATTTTGTTGTTGGTGGTGGGTTGGAGTTGGAGCGGATTTATTGGTTTGTGGGTGGTGGCTCTTGGCTCCATCTGATCCATTTGGTAGAGAGTTACGTTGTTAATTTGGATGGTGGAATTCACTTGTGTTGTGGCCTATGAATGTTCCATTTCAATATCGTGGGTGGGTAGAGGTATTTATATATATACATATCTTCGTGCACCATGTTTGGTTTTAGACACCATGGAAGAAAATGAAAATGAAAGTTATCCAATTGTAGCTCCTTTTTCATTGGTGCTTGTCGGCTCAATTTCAGTTGGGCTAGAAATATGTATAGGATAATAGTAAATTATTGGAGTCCTATCATATGCACCATGCACGCACTCAAGCAAAGTAACATCGAGTTTAGCATTACAGACTCTTGAAACTAGGGGTGGCTATTTGGACAGGGACCGGACTAAAAACCGGAAACCGGACCGTATAACCCGGACCGAGACTGGATAGTAAACAATCCAATCCAATCTTTGGGATTAGATTTGAGGTAAAAAACCGGATAAAGACCGGATAAGAGAGCTCAACACCCAAAACTTAAGGGTAATTTGCATAAACGGTCACAAACCTTTGCACTTAGTACAAAACTTAACCAACTCCTCACCCTTTAAGGCCTTAGGCCACTCAAATCCCACAATCTCAATGTAAAATCAAGACCGAATTGGGACCGGACCGGATCAAAACCGGACCGGATCAAGACCGGACTATATCCAATCCAATCCAATCTTCGGTCCTTATATTTTCAAAAAGACCGGACTGGACCGGATCAATTTGGGCCAATTTAACCGGACCGTATAGCCACCCCTACTTGAAACCAACTATATGTTTCTTTTGCATGCTAATCAACATCAAGGAAAGCTTCATCTTTTGACGAGCTTTCTTATGCACGGGCTTAATCAGCTATTTGGCAAAGTTGGACTGGAACGATCATAAGGAAAAGAGATCAGGAATGGACAAATTTATTTTGCTTTGTTGTTGTACGTCTGTCCAACCACATCCACACACACGCGTAAGGAAACCTTTTACTTTGGCATAATTTTGGTAAAAAAATTATAGTGCGGAAAGTTAAAGAAGTATTTAGCTAGGAACGTTTTGATGTGGGATTCCTTAGTGGGTGGTGGATCTTGGCTCCTTCTGTTTCATAACAAGTGGACTTCACTTCACTTCACTGGGCTTTGTGCCATTTCACTTCACTATCGTGGGTTGTTACTGGGTAGAGGTTCATATTGCTTATGACCCGGCCAATTGGCCGGATAGGTCAATATTTGTTATCGTTCAACGGTATATCAATTTGATCCGTTTTGACTGAGTTATGTTAACTGCGATTTATTTGTATAAAAAATTTGAAGATCAAAATCGGATCAACAGCGTTTTCAACAATCCAATTTGATCCGACCTAAATATCAATTCAATCTACCTTTTAAATATTCAGAAAGTCTTGTTTTTATTTGACTTAGTTCGATCTCTATATCCATATTAGTTATGGAAACTATGTGAAATAACCAATTATTAATTAGTTGGAACTAATGACTACATCTTGCGAAATGGAATTCTACAGTATTTGAAAATTGTACCAAAATAGTGTATCTTTGTGCATCAATTGAGTATTAGTATTGAGTTATTAATTAGGATTGAGACACATGAGCTCTTGGCCAATGACTTGGATATCATATATAATTAATTAATTACTCTAGCCCGCCTTAATAATTCACCTTATTACATGAGGTTCAATATCAACACTTACATCCATACATTTACTATGTCGTCCACTTTTGTATATTTTATAAATCATTCGATCCAAAATCAGCCACTAAACTCAAAATTATATCCAATTTCACTTCTTTTTCTTGGGTGCTTGTTGGATTGATCTCATTCGGGCTAGAAAGATGTACAAGATTAAAGGAAATTATTAGTCCTATCATGTGTACCATATAGGCATATACTAATGTTAACTATCCACCTGAACTCAACTCATGAATTTGAACTTTATGCAACCTCTTTTGTACGTAGTATACACTTGCATAAACTACTAGTAATATCAGAATTCAATTGGATTCAAATAGATAACAATTGAAACCAACTATATATTTCTTGCATGCTAATTCATGAAGCAAACTTTCTATCTTTTCACGTGCTTCCGTAAGCACGGACTTCAAAATTGTCTGATAAAGTTGGATTGTAAGAATCATAAGGAAAAGAGATTTGACAAATTTCTTTTGCTTTGTTGTTGTACATCTGTTCCATCCACACGCAAAAGTGTAAGAAAACCTTTGATAAAGTTTTGGTCAAAAGTGTATATGCTATGGGAATTGAAGAAAACGATAATGAATTGTATATGATCCCTTCTTTAATCTTTGGTTAAATTTGATCAGTGTCCATCTACTAGGAGAGGTGACGAGTCATATACAAATGAAACCCTTTGATAGAAATTATGATAAGGTTGACGAGACATGTAAAAAAGTCAGAATCATTGATATGGTTGAAGGAGATAGTGTACATATAAGGAAGTGAAGGAGGAACTGTATCATATTATCGAGCAAACCTTTAAAATAGTCCACTATATATCGTCATCAAGATCGAGACCATATACAAATATTAGGAAAAGATTATGCTAGTTGGGCTATATATACGATTAGGCTGATAATTCAAGATAATATCGTCTGGTTTTGCTAATATATATAATGCAAATGCCAATTGAGTTTACAATGATATACCACCAGCGTGTACTATTGCTTGAATCATGGGTTGAAACTCTAAAATGCCGTTCCACTAGTTAACTAGTGCGGTATAATAAGTTTTGCAGTAATTTTACATATCATGGGTTTGAATTTGTACTAGGTCTGATCAGTTTAGCATCAATTTTTTAATCGATAATCAAAAGGCTTGTTGTTCTTAAAAAAAAAAAAGGCTCATGTTCTAACTGATGGGTATCACAAAGTATAATGGTTCTTGTACAAACGTAACCACATGAGATTAGTTTATGTTTACGAAATTGTATATGGCTGACCTGACAGGACAGCCACCTTCTTGGGTATACTGTATACATATTCTTTTTGTTGTGGATCATATTCCTCTAAGCTCTAATAATTACAGCTCGTGTGTAGACTACTCAACAATATAATTTGGTACGAGACAAAACAAAAGTGAACGGCTATTTGCCGCCAATCAAATTGCTATTTGCCGCCAACTAAAAAAAAAAAAAAGAATTCAAAATTTGAATTTTCTATTCCTTCCCAGTGCCTCCGTCGCCGGTAAAAAAAAAAAATTTAAATTTTGAATTTTCCCTTCCTTCCCAGTGCCTCCGTCGCCGGCACCGTTCTTCCGTCGTCGGCTAACCTCCCGTCGCCCTCAATCGTCGGAAAACAAGTAAGTTTACTTTTTCCGGCCAGTTTTCCAGTTTTCCGGCGAAAAACACGGCGGGCCGAAAAAAAATTGCGGCCCGAACGTCGCCGAGCCGAAAAAAATTTGTGGCCGGGACGACGGCCGGCCGAAAAATTCTTTCGGCCCGGCGACGCCACGGCCGCAAATTTTTTTCGGCCGGTCGCCGAACACGGCGGCCAAAAATTTTCCGGCGGCGTGTTCGTCGGCTGGCCGAAAAAAATTTGCGGCCGGAGCGACGTCGGGCCGAAAGAATTTTTTTCGGCCGGTCGCCGAACACGCCGCCCAAAAATTTTCCGGCGGCGTGTTCGTCGGCCGGCCGAAAAAAATTTGCGGCCGTGGCGTCGCCGGGCCGAAAGAATTTTTCGGCCCGGCGACGCCACGGCCACAAATTTTTTTCGGCTCGGCGACGTTCGGGCCGCAATTTTTTTTCGGCCCGCCGTGTTTTTCGCCGGAAAACTGGCCGGAAAAAGTAAACTTACTTGTTTTCCGACGATTGAGGGCGACGGGAGGTTAGCCGACGACGGAAGAACGGTGCCGGCGACCGACGATTGACTTGCCTCGCGCCCGATCTTCGTCCAATCGACCCCGAACTCGCTAGAAATCCATAATGAAATTCATAAGTTCATAATGATACTAGGGTCATTAAAAATACAACTAGAAAAACAACAACATATAAATAGAGCATTGCAACACGACACACGATTTACGTAGTTCACTAACACAAAGTATTTATAGTACTTCTGATAGTCCGGGCAGCGAGACCCCCGATTACCAGTCGTAGCGGCTGATAGTCCGATTCAAGTCACATCAACAAAGGGTTTAGGGTTCAGGGTTCACTTAGGGTTTAGGGTTTGAAACACATGGTTCGTGTAGCACTTTGCCCACATTGTCTGATGGTTAGTGATGATTCATGGATGCGTGTACGCATTATATGTCGAGGATAGGCTTTCCCGATGATTTTCTGACGACTTTTCCGGCGAGCGTTGAATTTTTCTGATTCAATACGTTCTCTGAAAGTTGGATATGTTGTAGATTGTGAAACTCCTTAACCAAAGATGTATATATATACATTTTTTTTCATCGATGATTTTCCGGCGACTTTTCCGGCGACTTTTCCGGCGAGCGTTGAATTTTTCTGATTAAATACGTTCTCTGAAAGTTGGATATGTTGTAGATTGTGAAACTCCTTAACCAAAGATGCATATATATACTTTTTTTTTTTGGTTGGCGGCAAATAGCAATTTGGTTGGCGGCAAATAGCAAGCCCCAAACAAAAACCCTATTTATGGTTTGTACAAAATGCAGAACAAAAGAAAACAAAAACCCTTATATAGTTTTCTTTACCAAAAGAAAGAAGAACGAGTTGGTGCTCCCACTGTTCTATATATATGTGAGCAGGAAAGTAAATCCATGATCAGAGGCACTGATGATGATCACCACTACCGACCTCTCTCTGCAGCATTTTCCATTGGCATTATACATGGTTGACAACAGCAGCAACAAAAACAATAATGGCTGGTTAGCTAGCTGCTTTACTCGTGGAAATCATGCCCGGCAGTTGGTATAATTGTAGTAGGTGCCGATTCGATTATGACTTATGAGCATGTGACGCACGGACAAGGATTAATTCACAATCCAAGAACAATAACGACAACAAGAAAACTAACACATAAATTTACGTGGCCCAACATAATATGTGTTGGTTAGTCAACGGGCGAGAGCGAGATTCAAGTCAGATCAACAAAGTATATAAGCTTCCTTCTTTGATCTGTTTCAACAACTCATTTTATTGAGATTAATTAGCTTTCAATATATATAGTATCAGAACATTTGAACGAGAGATCACGTGTTCGAATTTCCATTACCCCTCTAACGTTACCTAGCTAGTTAATTATTTCATCATACATATGCACATGGTACAAAGTAGATATATGGTATGTAGGTCCAAATTTCAAGTTGACGAATTCACTTTTATTCGAGGGATTATGTAAGTGAATGATACTAGTTAGTAGTTAGATCCTAATTGGATCTCGCCTAACATCTCGAACTATACATTAAAACTTATCGTTGATTCTTGACACAAAATAATAAGTATGCTCGCAACACGGGCCGCGCATACCAAACTTTTGGATTTATCATCTATACATGGCAAGGTGTCCTGATCCAGCTAGCTCATCAGCATCCACACATCAACACAAGCAACAACAAGTCAATGAGAACCAACCATATATAAGACTGATGGATGATCCTGTGGCAAGCACCAACATATACCGAAAATGGTGAACTAATATATTAGATGTGCTTGAAGTTGATCCAGTTGCAAGACAAGCACTAACATATGACTGATGGACGATCCAGTGGCAAGCACCATCAATCGCATGCACGATAGTCGATTGGCCGAATCAATTGATATGGAAATCTACAGACTGTAGATTGGCTATACGGTCCAGTCCGGTTAAATTGGCCCAAATTGATCCGGTCCAGTCCGGTCTTTTTGAAAATATAAGGATCGAAGATTGGATTGGATACAGTCCGGTCTTGATCCGGTCCGGTTTTGATCCGGTCCGGTCCCAATTTGGTCTTGATTTTACATTGAGATTGTGGGATTTGAGTGGCCTAAGGGCTTAAAGGGTGAGGAGTTGGTTAAGTTTTGTACTAAGTGCAAAGGTTTGTGACCGTTTATGCAAATTACCCTTAAGTTTTGGGTGTTGAGCTCTCTTATCCGGTCTTTATCCGGTTTTTTACCTCAAATCTAAGCCCAAAGATTGGATTGGATTGTTTACTATCCGGTCCCGGTCCAGTCTCGGTCCGGGTTATACGGTCCGGTTTCTGGTTTTTAATCCGGTCCCGGTCCAAACAGCCACCCCTATCTACAGTGGCGGATCCAGGGCTGGGGCAACCCAGGCCCCCGGCCCAGCCCTCCTCCGGTCTCCGGATCCAGAGTTAGTTTAGTGGTTATAAAATTATGATTTAGGTATTTGGCACATTGCTATTTAAAATTCTGTCTGGTTTTATTTGATAATAGGATTTTGTGTAACTAGGAAAATGGTTCAGGTGAACATATCCAAACCATTACTCTAAATTTATACGAAATTTTCTATAGCCCCAATGATTTTATTTGAAAAATGACATGAAAACCTAAAAGTGTAAAGTTTCATTAAAATAAAATAAAAAACTCTAAACTAAGCACACCCTTCCTTGCAAAATTCAAAAAATTTCCCAATCCCCCCAAAACAAAACAAGAACGAGGAGACGAGCAGACCCAAAATGGATTTCTCTACCCGCCCATCGAGCTGGTTTTCTTTCCATTCTTATGATTAAGAAAATATTTACAAACTCGCTGAGTCATCATTTAGATTGCCTCAATTGAGTGGGGCACTAGATTCTAACCGTTCTTTCTTGTGTTTTGATGAAGAAAATATTTACAAACTTGCTCAAGAGTTTAGCCTCGAGACTTTGAAGGCTATGAGATGCATTCTTTGGAGAATGCACTACTCATGTGAGGAAGATGAAGTTTCTTCTCTTGCACAATTATTAGAGAAGCTGGAGGAAATAGGGATGGACACATAATACAAATTGATTTGTCGGTTGATTTGTCTAGTGTTGACCTATGGGTACAAGTGATCATCCAAACGCACGAGCGCCGACCTCGAAGAGGCAAGGTCTCCTTCACGCAGCCCAAGCCCAAAATACCGTTTCAACAACTACCATGAAGAGAATATTTTCAGCAATGGAACATGAACATTGATTTGTGCAACAAAATGAGCGATGAATTTCTCGTTGATTACTTAGCTATTTTCTTTGAAAAAGAGTATATTATCAGTATGGATGGAGATTATATTATTGATGAATTTGCTAAATTAAAAGACCTTCTTGTACAATTGGCGTTGTAATGAAAACTATATTATTATATATTTTTGTTTATGGTATCTAATATTCTATTTAAATACGGCCCTGTGCTCTCTTATGTCCTGGATCCGCCGCTGGAAATCTAATGGAATAGTTTCATTTATGTTCAAATTATTTCGCCCTGTCCCTCAAAAAAAAAAATTTATTTCGCCCTTTATTAAACATGATTATAAGGACATTATCACTTAGCTAAAGAGGTTTCAATGATTAGGGGAAATTAATGAAGCAAGCTTACGTCAACGACAATAGTTGGTCACTTATGCTTTATTTGAAGCAATAAAGTTAAGCACTTTAGACAGATGTTTTATAAAATATATATGACCACTTCTGATCACCTTTATCTCTCACTAATACTTATGTTGTTTTTATCAAATGATACGTTGGACTAAAGGCAAACAAGAAATTAAAGACAATGCACTTATGTCCCTACCGGCAAAAGAAACCCATCAAATTAGGACACTTCTTCTTTGTCAAAAAAAAAAAAAAAAAAAAAAAAACAAAAACAAAAATAGGACACTTCTTCACATCCTTTGCATAAAGCCATAAACTAAACGCACTTCCTAAAATCCCTACGCACTAACAAGGGAACGACAACTATACCAACTATAAAGGGTAAGAGCTAGGAAAACAAATAGTGAGCCAAAAGAACAGGTTTGGAGCAGCGACGACCATGACGATAGCTGACATCGTTGTTATTGCTTTGAAATAATTATGGCAATGATTTAGCGAAATTAATCATGGCAAAAATCAAAATTCAACATAGTTGTTGGTGTTTTTACTTCTTAGTACTGCGCTGATCATATCACCTAATTACCTATGTCCTTAGAAAGTTGAAGTCCAACTTAAAATCGTTTCCTCCTTTACCATTATTTCGTAATACTTTAACTTCTTTTCAATTATCTCCAACTCTTGAGATAAATTGTACAACAAAGGAAAGATCAAGAAGTGATTGATGGAGGCTGACGCGCACGAGCCTTTGTTGAGCTCTTTTAACACGTTGGTATACAAGTATTTTGATGTGTTAAGATTTTACTTTTTACTTTTTAGTATGTGGAACTTGCTGGGCCGGAATGGATAGAATAGGATGGGGTTTACATTGCCTGAATGTATAGGTTTGGTCCAGTGGGCCTTGATGGTGGTTGGACTTTGAAAATATGGGCTCGAAGTTGGACTTGGTAGAGTGTGTCCTCTATCTTTTCCTTTGTTCTTTGACACAGAATTTTTACTTATCCACGCCACGGATACGGAATATGGATTCCATGGAATTTGAGCAGAAAGAAATTTGAATATTCCACATTTGAATGCATTTTTAGTAAGATGTAATATAATTATTGAATTCTAACTTAAAAGATAAAATTATCAAAATAATTTTCAACAAAGAAAAAGTATATACAATGGCAGGATGAGTATTGAACTCAAAATAATAATTACAATCCACCATATTATCCAACCAGATTAGACGATGATGTATATGAATTTGAGTTGAATAATGACAAGTTCATAGCATGTTCATCACCTATAACAATATGAATTAAAAATTTAACCAAACTCATTCTAATTAGCTCGATTTCTAGTTTTTTTTATATAGGGATGACATATGTTTGTTTTTAGTTAGGTCATACTTACGAAATTCAGATCAACGACCTCCAATTTGAAAATAAGTGATATTACCACTCGATCAAACTCTTTTTCGCAAGCTCAACTCCCAATTTGAAAGAGGTCCCTTTCGTCTTATAGTATATGCAAATAGCCCATCATCCATCTCTCAATTCCTCAAGATCTGACTTTCTATATTATCATTCATGGCACTTCAATTCCCTGATTACCGGCCCATCCCACACCATGCCATGCCAACTTAGTTCATGATACATCCCCCCATAGCGAGTTCGATGGGATTCGCTTGCTGTACCTCCTGGCTAGGGCTGTCCATTTGGTTTTGGTTTTTTGGTTTTAACCATAACCAAACCAATTGGAAAGCTAATGGTTTCAGTTTTTTGGTTTTAAACCAATAAGCAACTTAATGGTTTTGGTTTGGTTAAAACTGAAAAACCAATAAGAAACCAATATCAACGAAACGACCCCTTTCAACGAAACGGTCGCGCAACTCTTTCCCTAGAACCCTTCGAAATCCCTAAACCCCTTTCGAACGAAATGCTCTCGCCTGCGCACGAGGCACCTCTCTTCAGAATCTTTTCGTTGCATGCCAACCAAATATACTATTTTTTATAAGAATGTACAAATAATAATAATAAAATTATTTATCATGAATTTTTTTTATTGTTTCTTTAGATATGCATGCCAACCAATAATTTATAATGGTCATTTTATCATTTATCATTATTATGACATTTATTCAATAAAAAGAATGGAAATAGAAATAAATATGAGTGTATGAGTACATGTTGGTTTTTTGGTTATCCAAAACCAAAACCATTAAGGTCCTTATTGGTTATTGGTAACCAATAACCAATAAGGACCTTAATGGTTTTGGTTTTGGTTTTTGCTGATTTGGTTTTTGATTTTTGGTTTTTCATACTTAATGGTTTGGTTAACCAAACCAAACCAAATTGACAGCCCTACTCCTAGCTAGCTTAGCTCTCTCCTATTTATAACAAAGAGAAACCCAAGTTGTAAAACATAAAACTCGAGCCAATTTTTGTTCTACTTCCGCAAGAAAATATGCCCCTTCTACTCTTGCTAATAACCTTCCTCTCGCTACATCTTCTTTACACCATCACGATCAGGAAGAAGTCCTCATTGTCGATCACAAACTGGCCTCTCATGGGAATGCTTCCATCCCTCCTATGGAACCTCTCCCGCCTCCACGAATTCGCCACCGAAATCCTGAAAGCAAATGGTGGAACCTTCGCCTTCAAAGGACCTTCCTTCACCAACCTCGACTTCATCGTCACAAGCGACCCTACCAACGTCCACCACATCGTCACAAAGAACTTCTCCAACTACCCCAAGGGACCCGAGCTCAAGGCGATCATGGCGCCATTTGGAGACGTCCTATTCAACAGCGACGGAGACTCCTGGAAGACGAAGAAGGAGATCGTCCTCTCCCTCATCAAAACCGCCGGATTCGAGAGGCTTCTCATGACAACCCTTCGTCACAAACTGGCCGACAGCCTTATCCCGGTACTCGACCACGCCGCGAGAAATCATGATGATGGTGGTGTTGTTCTTGACTTGCAAGATGTGATGAAGCGGTTCACGTTCGATCTCACTTGTTTGCTCCTCCTGGGGGTCGACACGGAGTGCCTGTCGACGAGTTTTCCTCGTGTTCCATGTGCGGAGGCGTTTGATGTGATAGAAGAGGCCATCGTTTACCGCCATTGCGTCCCGCCGTGGGTTTGGAAGTTGCAAAGATGGCTTCACGTCGGGTGGGAAGGGATGACTGTCAAAGCGGAGGAGTGTCTTAACGGGTTTCTGGAGGAAAGGATCAGAGAGAAGATGGTGGAGAAGCATGCCAAGGGGAGTAGTGTTAATGATGATGGTGATGATAATTATGACTTGTTGATGACGCTTATAGTTGAGACTGAGCGATTAATGGGGAGTGGTTGTTGTTTCAACAGTAAGGGCGAGAAGTTTGTGAGGGAGACTGTGGTTAGCCTGATGGTGGCCGGGAGAGACACCATTGCTGTCGCTTTGAGTTGGTTCTTTTGGCTCGTCGCCACCAACCCCGGCGTAGAGGAGAAGATCCTAGAAGAACTAGATCGAGTCGTCGTTACACAAACAGGTAAAAAAACGTTCTCAAGACATTTTCTTTACAAGAGATCGACTTATTATGACGAAATCTAACTTTTTTTTTGCGACGGAGTTTCGTATAACAATAGTTGAAATTGTTGTAGTGTGAACAAATTGGACAAACAATTCGACATGACTCCTGATGACGATTCAATTATCTCGTTATGTACAATTGGTGAATCAGGTGAAGAAAAAGGGCTCTTTTCGAGCATAGAAGAGTTGAACAAAATGGTGTACCTCCACGGGGCCATAAGCGAGACTCTGAGGCTGTACCCGTCGGTGCCATATGAACCGAAACAATCTCTGGAAGCCGACGTGCTTCCCAGCGGCCACGGTGTGGGCAAGAACACTAGGATTTTAGTGTCCATTTACTCGATGGGAAGGATGGAGGAGGTGTGGGGTAATGACTGGATGGAGTTCAGACCCGAGAGGTGGGTTTCTGAAAGAACAGAAGGGAACAACATCATCAATGATGATGATGTTGAGAAGAAAAAGATTTGTAATATTCATGTACCATCCTACAAGTTTGCAGCGTTTATGGCGGGGCCAAGATCATGCCCAGGACGGAAAATAGCGTTCATGCAGTTGAAAAACATAGCCAGTTGTGTTTTACGCAAGTATAAGATTGTTGTGGTGGATGATCATCCCGTTGTCCCGCTGCCTTCTATCATGATGTTCATGAGATATGGTCTGAAGGTTAGAGTTTCAAGCAGGACATCAAAGAGTAAGTAGTACCGGCCCTCTTAGTGTGTATATGTGGCGAGAAGTTACTAATATATATGTACGTATATGTAACTCAATGTACCTTTTATGTTTTGATAAATATGTACCTTAATCTGTTATGTTCATTATAGCCGTACATATGCCGTGAATGCATGTACGCACAAGAATAATGGTGAAAAGTGTTGACGACATACAAAATGCGCTTTCATTACGTTGTGATTAGGATGTTAATGAATTGCTATACTACCATGTGCTTGAAGTACAATTTTTAAAATGTAAATTTTTCTAATCAAAGGTTTACGAGTTTATAATATAATAAAATGACAAACCGGATAGATATGGAAAAACACTCGTCCTATCAACCTATCCTATAAAATCATACAAATATATTTTTATCTTCGTAGGTAGCTCCCCAACTTGTTGAGATAAATTATAGACCATAACAAAAATCATTATGAAATGATTGCTAAAAAATGATGTGCAGCTTTTGCTAAATGTATACATAAAAGAAGTATTTGATGATGTTCACTAAAAAGTATTGCATTGTTGGTTCGATTATATAATTTCTATTTGAGCTCAAGCCAATATAGAATTATACCGATATGAAATAATTGAAATGATTATATAATTTTTATTTGAGCTCAAGCCAATATACAATTATACCGATATGAAATGATTGAATCACATTTAAAATATGATTTAAGTATAAAATATCATATACCACTAACTTATTGGTTACAAATTCTAATATTGTTTTTCTCCAATACTGTCAAAATAAAACACAATGACAATAGTTTGAACGGTCTTAGCATTCCAATACTCTCAAAGTCAAGCCCGACAATGAATACGCAGGCCAATACTGTGATATTTGTCCGGGCCTAGCACCTTTCGGTATAGGTAATACCAAGAGTACGCAAACAAAGCCCATTTAGATAGTCGGCCGAAAATATATACCAGCACGTGAATTTCATGCATGCATGGCCAAAGAGGCAAAGAGCAGTTGAGTCCACAACGATGTTGATATCGCACAAACTTTAATCAAGCAAAACTCGACAATTATCGAGTTAATCAGAGAACAATAAAGCGAGCACCAAATTGCACATAAACAAGCAATCCTGTTTTAACCAGAAGAAACAAACCCTTTACTAGCGGGTAATGATACCCAATTTAACAAATAAAAGAGACCATTTTCCCCTCTTCTATTATTCCTTGAACAGGGCAAACAGTACAAACCATATATTTTGAGAACATGATATCCCACTGTTGGAGGACTCCGTTGTAATAAAATAATAGTATAGGAACTAAATTGTAATATTTGTTTCTTGTTGTATTATTCTGTTATTTACTAATATACAGATATATATAAATGTGTAATAAGGACAATATATTATTTCTTTACCTTTCTGATTAATGAGAAAAAGTAGACCATTTCCTTTTACAAGATTCAACATGGTATCAGAGGAGTCAAAATCTTGATTCTCTCTCTTACTTTCCCAATTTCGTTCTAGGGTTTCCTCTCAAAACTTCCGCTCTCTTCGACTTTCCTTCGTTCTCCTTCAATGGCGACTTCGTCGGCGCAATCATCTCAGGCGACTGCGAATTTCTCGTTCGTGCCTCCCGCCGGATTGCTCGATCCTAGTCACCCCTACTTTCTCAATCCCGGAGATAATCCGGCGTCGGCGCTCGTCACCGTCGTCTTCAACGGCAACAACTACTATGCATGGGCGAGATCGATGCGTCTCGCGTTGCTGGCGAAGAAAAAGCTCTCTCTGATCGATCCCGCCGTCGCGCCACCGTTTCCTGGCGATCCTCTTCACGGTGCTTGGGAGAGGTGCAACGTGATGGTTCTTGGCTGGATCTACCGCTCCTTGGCTCCAGACATCGCACACAGTGTTCTCTGGTTCGATTCGGCAGTCGAGGTGTGGAGAGATCTTCAAGATCGGTTCAGCGAAGCAAGTCTGATTCGGATCTCAGATCTCCAGGATGAGGTTTTTGCTTTCAAGCAAGGAGCGGCCACAGTCAGCGAGTACTTCACAAGATTTCGCGTTCTTTGGGACGAGTTGGTGACTATCAGGCCGTTTCCTGCTTGCTCCTGTACTCCGAGGTGCTCCTGTGGTGCTCTCAACGTCGTTCGTCTTCATCAGCAGTCCGATCAGATCATCCGCTTTCTGAAAGGTCTCAATGACTCTTTCTCTCAGATCCGAAGCCAGATCTTACTCATGGAGCCGCTTCCTCCAATCACTCGCGTCTTTTCCATGGTGATTCAGCATGAGCAACAACTCCATTCCTCTAGTGCTCCTTCGGTGGTCACTCCGATGGCTATGGCTGGGCGTTCCTCTGGTCCGAGTCAGGGTCAAGGTCGTGGTGCTGGTCAGAAGCAGAGACCTGTCTGTACTCACTGTGGTGGCGTCGGACACACGGTGGATCGTTGCTTCAAGAAGCACGGTTATCCGCCGGGCTACAAGGGCAAAGGCAAGGTCAACGCTGCGATTGCTGATGAGCAGGCTCCGTCATCTGCTGGTGTTCCTTCTGGCGAGTCAGTCGTTCTTACCTCAGAGCAGTATCACACACTGCTTGCTCAAGCTGGATCTGCATCAGCATCGAGCTCTGTCTCTTGCCTCATGTCTGGTCAGCCGAGTTCCAGCTCTGTTCAGCCGAGTTCCAGTTTTGATCAGCCGGGTTCTAGCTCTATCCAGCCGAGTTCCTCGGGTCCTGCTGCTGTCTCTACTTCTCTGTGGACTCAGCCTAACCAGCTAGCAGCCTATGCTGCATCAGGTAAGTATACTCTTGCCTCTATTCCTCCAGAACGGTTAGGTGCGTCTATTAATACATGGATAATCGATAGTGGTGCTACCGATCATGTGGCTTGTTCGTTAGACTTGTTTGTTGATTTCACACCCTTGAGTGGTATGTTTGTGACTTTGCCTAATGGTTCTCGTATAGCTGTTACACACAAAGGGTCTGTGAGGTTGTCTAATACATTAACTGCTTGATTCAGGATATCCCGTCCCGGCAGAGGATTGGTATAGCTAAGCAGATTGCCGGGCTGTACTACCTCGAAGTCGAATCTGGACGAGATTCTTCCTCTTTACCCCTTCCTATTACTTTGTCTGCTGCATTTGACACTACTATAAGACACTTTGATAAATGGCATTATCGTCTTGGCCATAGTTTTGTTCCTGGTCTGTCTGATAGTAGTACTAAGTGTCAAAATTTGCATTGTTCTGTTTGTCCTATTGCTAAGCAGCGTCGTTTACCCTTCCAGTCTAGCACTTCTTATGCTGCTTGTATGTTTGACTTGGTTCATATCGACATATGGGGACCATATGGTGTTCCAACCACAGATGGTCATCGTTACTTTCTTACTGTCCTTGATGATCATTCTCGTAATACTTGGTGTTATTTGATGCATGCTAAATCAGAAGCTAGGTCTCTTGTCCAAAACTTCTGTGCTTATGTCCAAACTCAATTTTCCAAACAGATTAAGGCTATTAGGACAGATAATGGATCTGAATTTCATATGCCATCCTTTTATATTTCCTTAGGTATCATTCACCAAACTACCTGTAATGCTACTTCACAGCAAAATGGCCGTGTAGAGCGCAAACAACAGCACATTATTGCTGTTGCTAGGGCTATTCTAATGCAAGCTTCTCTCCCGGTTAAATTTTGGGGACATGCTGTGTTGCATGCTGTCCATCTTATTAACCGGTTACCTACTCCAGTCCTAAACAATAAATCTCCATTTGAACTATTGTTTCACAAACAACCAGATTATAGTTTGTTACGTGTCTTTGGTAGTCTATGTTATGCATCTACTTTAGCTCACAATCGTCCTAAGTTTTCCCCACGGGCAGAACCTTGTGTCTTCCTAGGATTTCCTTTTGCTACTAAAGGTTACAAGCTTTATAGTCTCATTTCTCATAAATTTTTGGAATCTAGAGATGTCTCATTCCATGAACATATATTTCCATTTTCTACTAGTGATCTGTCTCTTTCTAGTCTTGATCAGGCTCTTCCCTTTATAGATATTCAGCCACTTGACTGTCCTGTTTCTCAGTCCATTCCCTCTTGCTTAGGCAATACATCTCTGCCTTCATCCTCTCTTTCCCCTTCTATCACTCCATCTGCTTGCAATCTGGCCGACATTCCTATTCCCTCTCAAACAGCTTCCTTACCTCAACAACAACCTAGCAGTACCTTACCAGTTAGGCGGTCAGATAGAGTTAGAGTTCCCCCAAAGAAACTAAGTGATTATATACTGCCTACTAATACTACTAAATATCCTTTGTCTAGTGTTTTATCTTATGACAGGTTGTCACTCATCTATAGAAGATTTATTATGGCTGTAACTAATGAAACAGAACCAGCTACATATACTGAGGCTGCTAAGGACCCTAGGTGGGTTGAGGCTATAGATTTAGAGCTCCTAGCGTTGGCAAACACCAACACTTGGACTCTAACTCCACTGCCTCCAGGTAAGCATGCTATTGGTAATAAGTGGGTATTTCGTATTAAGTTTAAACCTGATGGTAGTATAGAGAGATATAAAGCTAGGTTAGTTGCCAAAGGCTATACTCAAACTCCAGGCATAGATTATTTAGAAACATTTTCTCCCGTAGCAAAACTTACTACTGTTCGTGCTTTACTTGCTCTTGCTTCCATTAAAAACTGGCATGTACAGCAACTTGATGTTAATAATGCTTTTTTACACGGTGATTTGGTTGAGGAAGTATACATGAAACCGCCCCTAGGTTTACATTTACCTTCGAAAAATCTAGTATGCAAACTTAATAAGTCATTATATGGTCTTAAACAGGCTAGTCGACAGTGGAATCATAAAATTACTCAGTTTCTTGTTTGTGCTGGATATACACAGTCTAAGGCTGATTATTCTTTGTTCACTAAGTCAAGTATGGGTAAATCTCTTGCTGTCCTAGTGTATGTGGATGATGTAATTCTAGCTGGTGATGATTTAGATGCTATTACCTTGCTTAAAACACAGCTAGATGATGCATTCAAAATTAAATACTTAGGACCACTTAAATACTTTCTAGGGCTAGAGATTGCTCGAAACACTGCTGGGTTTTCCATATGTCAGCGAAAATATGCTCTGGACTTACTCAAAGATGCAGGTTTGCTTGGTGCTAAGCCTGCTGCCACACCTCTTGTAGCTGGCAGCCAGCTCTCAACGACTGATGGTAATCCACTTTCTGACCCAGAACTTTATCGTAGACTTGTAGGACGTTTGCTATACTTGTGTCATACACGTCCTGATATAGTGTATGCTGTGCATCATCTTACTCAATTCATGAGTGCTCCAACTGATGTACATCTTAATGCAGCCCATCGAGTCCTTAGATATCTTAAGAATAACCCAGGACAAGGCCTTTTCTTTCCTAGCAACTCTTCTATCAAACTGACTGGTTTTTCAGATAGTGATTGGGCTGGATGCCCGGATTCTAGGCGCTCTGTTACTGGTTATTGTGTGTTTTTAGGTGATTCGATTATTAGTTGGAGATCCAAGAAGCAGCCTACTGTTTCTAGATCCTCCACTGAAGCCGAATACCGAGCCATGGCAGATTTAACATGTGAGGTACAGTGGTTACATTACATTTTCCAGGATTTAGGTGTTTCATTTAACTCTCCTACTGTGTTATTCTGTGATAACCAATCTACTATTCGTTTAGCTGAAAATCCGGTTGCTCATGAGCGTACAAAACATATTGAGATCGATTGTCATCTTATTCGTGATAGAATCTTGTCAGGTTTGATAAAAGTGTTATTTATCAGCAGTGAGAATCAACTTGCTGACATTTTTACAAAGTCTTTGTCAAGTGTTGTTTTCACAGGACTCATCTCCAAGCTGAATCGGATTGACATTCACGCTCCAACTTGCGAGGGGGTGTTGGAGGACTCCGTTGTAATAAAACAATAGTATAGGAACTAAATTGTAATATTTGTTTCTTGTTGTATTATTCTGTTATTTACTAATATACAGATATATATAAATGTGTAATAAGGACAATATATTATTTCTTTACCTTTCTGATTAATGAGAAAAAGTAGACCATTTCCTTTTACAAGATTCAACACCCACAAGTAAAAGGCCAATTCACCATAAACCACGAACATAATTAATCTTTTTCCAAACGGTTTATCAACGATCATCCACCCGATAATATACACATCATGCTCTATTAGAAACTCTGACCTTGAGTCCATACTTCATGAACATGAGAATGGAAGCGTCAGGAACCACAGGATGACCATCCACCACCTCAAACTTAAACCTACGCAGAACGCAACTGGCTATGGCTTTCATCTGAACGAACGCTATCTTCCTCCCCAAGCACGTCCTCGGCCCCGCCATGAAAGCCGCAAACTTGTAAGCTGGCACGTGGCTAACCACCATCTTCTTCTTCTCATCCGCAGACTCAACCGAAATCCACCTCTCGGGTTTGAAGTCCATCCAATCCACACCCCATATCTCTTCCATCCTCCCCATGGAAAAGATGGATAGCAAGATCCTGGTGTTGGCATCAATGGCGTGCCCACTTGGGAGCACATCCGGCTCGATCGATTGCTTGTGTTCGTAAGGCACTGATGGGTACAACCTTAGGGTTTCACACATGGCTCCGTGAAGATACACCATTTTGTTCAGCTCTTCTGTGCTCGGAAAGCTCGTCTCTTTCCCCATAACTTGATCCAACTCCTTCAGAATCTTCTCCTCCACGTTAGGGTTTTTCGCCACGAGCCAAAAGAACCAACTCAAGGCAGCAGCAATGGTGTCCCTTCCTGCCACAAGCAAATTAAACACGACATCTCTCAAGAACACGTTCGTGAATTTCCCCTGATCAATCCCCGCTTCCCCGGACAAGATCATGGTTAGAAAATCATCATCCACCACGGTTTCCATCTCCTTCTTATCCAATGCCTCTTTCCTCTTCACTCTGATTCTCTCCTCCAAAAACCCATCAAAGCACTCCTGAGCTTGCCTCATTTTCCTCTCCTCCCCGATGCCAACCCACCTCTGGAACTTCCACACCGTGGCTGGGACACAATGGCGGTAGAGAATCACCTGCTCGATTACGTCGAACGCGTCGGCGTAGGGAAGGCTGGGGAGTTCGATGGAGAGGTATTTGGGATCGAAACCCGTAACGAGGGAGCATATGGTGTCGAATGTGAGCCGCTTCATTAGCTCTTGCAAGTCTAGAGGAGGAAGAGCATTATTAATGTTGTTGTGGAGTTTGGAGGAGGAGTTGTGGAGGATTGGGATCAGGCCGTTTTGTAGCTTAAGGTGGAGGGTTTTGAGCATTAGGTGGTGGAATTTGGTGGTGTTGATGAGGGAATGGATGGTTTCTCTTTGGGATTTCCAGGATTCGCCGTCGGTGTTGAATATGCCGTCTCCCAGCGGTTCTAGTATGGCCTTCAAGTTTGGTCCCTGTCGAGGGGAATGAGAGTGAAGAACAAGACTTAGTTTCATTTGGTACTATGGTAGTATGAATAAGTTCATAATGAGGATATGCTGGGCGTTCAAATTTGAGGTTAGACAGAAGGAAAAATGGGTTAGTATGGATTTTTCTTTATATTGTTAATTAGATTCATTAATTGCTAGAAAGGGAAAAGGAGAAGTGTACGTGTGGGATTAATGGTGTGATTATCAATAAAGGCGGTGTTTCGTTTGGTGTAGTTATAAATTGATTTATGTAAATATTATTCAGGTCTTATTGTGTGAAATGTGTTTGTATATAGGGTTGGCAATTTGGTCCAGGATTGTTTGGTTTTACACGAAACCGGACCGTATAATCCGGACCGGGACCGGATTGAGACCGGAGAGCAAACAATCCAATCTCATATTCGGGCTTAGATTTGAGGTAAAAAACCTGGATAAAGACCGGATAAGAGACCCCAACACTCAAATCCCCACAAACTCAATCTAAAATCAAAATCAAATTGGGACCGGACCGGGTCAAGACCGGACCGGATCAAGACCGGAGTGTATCCAATCCAATCTTTGGTCCTTATATTCCCGAAAAGACCGAACTGGGACTGGATCAATTTGGTCCAATTTAACCGGACCGGACCGTATAGCCACCCCTATTTGTATATACGTTGGTCGGTTGGTTTAGTACTGTATTTGTGCAAGGACGAAAAAATGATACGTGAAGCCATTTTTTGTAGAGTGAGTTCTCATAATGCTTTCTAGTCTACCCTTCAAGAATTAGGATTGAATGACGCAACCTTACATGTGAATTTTTTATTTATAAATACATGTGAAATTTTTAAATACACCAAGTACATGAAAAACTATGAAAGAAAAATGATTCGTTTTTGTTCAACCACATTCATTCATACATACAAACTAACTATATTTTCCATCCAACCAAATCACTTCATAAAGCTGAAAATGTCCTTCTCGTAAAAATTTGCATATTTCATGTGCTACTGTTTTCTTCTTGCATGAATTTAAGATTGGATAAATATATATAATATGAGAAAAGTATCCCAAAACTTGAATGCGATATCTCTTTCCACATAAGGATGATTCCTATAATACTCACATCATCGTTTTGTAAGAACATACTTAAAGGATGGAAAATTGTCAAAAACGCGTTGAGCCTTTCGTAACCGTTGGATGAACGCAATAGTTATTGCAAGTACAATTTCACTACTGTGTCGATCCAATAATTGCGGAACACCCACCACGTATATAATTCAATGACTCTAATCCTTGTCATGGTGCTGTGAGCCATATAGCAGGGTTGACTTTGGTAACCTTTGTCTGAAAATGGTAAAACTTTTGGGTACACAAAAGATGCTGCTTCTTATAATTGAGTGTTATGTACAGCCCCTATCTGGACCTGACATTGCCACGAGATAGCTAAGCAGTTGCATACTCTTCTAGTTTATATACGTACTACTTTGGTATTTGGATTGTGGTCTATTATACTAACAAGTAAGCTAGATATAGAAAAGACCATACATCATCAAACTCATCTTACTAATTAATGGAAAAATCATCAAAGTTAACACAAACTTTCAAGCTATACCATTATGAGAAAAAATCTTTGCTTAATACATATATAGCAACGTTATAAGTTCTAATCGTTAGGTAATTCATGAAATTGCCACACAAAAAATTTGGATTGATTCAAACAAATACTCTGTAACGTCAAGTTCCCTAGTGAATGAATTCTCCCCAACTTTCACCTCTTAGATTTGTCAGTTTTTGTTGTATAATAAATTAAACAAATACATATAATCTTATCACTAAAATTAAAATCACAAGTAAATACTATAATATTTTGTGATGAAGAAAATCAGTATGAGGAAGATAGACTCGGTCCCCACCCAATCCTCATAGGTTTGTCCTTTCTTTCTATCGTATTCTATTCATCAACTCAACACACAGTTTTACGAAGAGAACTATCAATCGCCGTTAATCCTTACCTTGGGGAAGTTGGTGAAGTTCTTACTCAGGATGTAGTGGACGTTCATCGGATCCACGGTGATGAGGAAGTCAACGCCGGCGAACCACGGTCCTCTGAACCGGAAAGTGCCTCCACTCTGTTTCATGAGTCGGGTGATGAACTCGTGGAGGAGGTCGTGAGATACGTTCCACAGTAAGGATGGAAGCATGCCGACGACCGGCCAGTTTGGTGTGATGGCGTTCTTGTTTCGGATGGCGAACAAGGCCAGCCAAAGGAGAGGGAGAAAGATACTTACAAGCAGCAATAGCGTCGCCATTTCTTTCTGTGGGAAACTGATCTTTTCTCGGCCGTTTGGGAATGGACAAGAAGGAATGGGCGTCTTATCTTATTATCAAAGTTTTGGTTTGTTAGGGGTTTTTGTATGTCTGTGTATTTATAGAGACGGAATTGATCAGAATGTGAAGGAAACAAAATTTTCCTTGGGTGTATATTACAAAATGGTCACTAATCTCCGGGCCCACTACGAATAGATAGGTGAAACTTTGACAAGAATACGATATAATTTTTACAACATTTGATAATTAAGATGCTACTAAAGATTCATAAAATAATCTAATAATTAACTAGGGTCGGTCTAGATTGATCATAAGAAGGTTTAGAATGTTACATATACGTCAATCAGTTGGGTTAAGTGTATTTTGGTAAGGAAAACAGAAAAAGGGAAGGAAAAAAGATATGTGAGGCAATTTTTTGTAGAGTGAGTTCTCATATTCTTTCTACCTTCAAGTATTAGAATTGAATGATACAGCCTTACATGAATTTTTAAATACATCCAAGTAGACAAAAACTATCAAATAAAAATAATTCATTTGTACAATTACATACGTATAGTTATATTTTCTATCCAACCGAATGACTTTATAAAGCTGAAAATTTTCATATTTCATCACCTTTATAGATGCCACTGCATTCTCATTGCACGAATACAATGTTAGAGAAATATATATCAAACATGAAGCGTATCCCGAAACTTGAATGTAAGATCTCTTTCCACATGAAAAAGAGAATTTATGAGGATAATTCCTTATCGAGGTAGCATCAATGGAATTTAGCTATAATAGTCACATCATCATTTTGTAAGAACATGCTTATAGGGCGCAAAATTGTCAGTAGTGCATTGAGTGTTTTGTAACCGGTGAATGGACACAATGATAATTTGTAAGTAAAATTTCACTGTGTCCATCCAACAATGGCTCCATATATGGATAAAGCCGATCAATCAGAGCTGCTTCAAGGAAGATAAGGATAGCTCATACCTGATATTACCACGAGATAGCTAGGCAGTTGCGTACTCTTCTAGTTTATTTACTAACTAATTTGGTACGTATTTGGATTGAGGTCTATTAGACTAACAAGTAAGCTAGATATTGAAAAGACTATACATCATCAAAGTCATCTTGCTAATTAATCATAAAATCATCAAAGTTATCGCATAGTTTCAAGCTTTACCATCATGAGAAAAATCGTTGCTTAATAGGGATAGTGACGTTAAAAGTTCTAAACGTTAGGTTTCATGAAATTGGCACACATAAAATTTGGGTTGAGTCGAATAAATACGTTGTGACATCGGGTTTACTAGTGAATGAACTTTCCCCCATTTTGACCCCTTAGATTTGTCAGTTTTTTGACCCCTTAGATTTGTCAGTTTTTGTTTTATAATTAATAAAAGAAATATATATAATCTTATCACTACATTTAAAATCATCCCTATATAATATATAGCCGTTCTTCATGAGATTTTGAGCATTTCAAATTTCTTGCACTCTCCTTAATTGTAGCTAGGGGTAAATTTGTAAGTTCAAAATATTACGATAGAATATTTACAAGATTGCGATAGAATATTTACATCATTTGATAATATGCTAATAAAGATTTCATCAAATAATGAACTAGGGTCGGTCTAGATTGAACTCGGTTAGGATGGAGGGTTGTTTCTGAGTTTTTCTGAATTTTGTGTACAAGTGATTTGGTTGGTCTGGGAAAAATGAATCATTATATCTTTCCATGCCTAAGCATACGATGAACATGAGAGTAACTATCATGAAATTTAAAAATTGTCTATTTGGGTCATTTGATTGATGAATTTGATCGAGTGGTGAATTATATTGTTCCCCCAAAATCCATTAGTGAATGAGTGTGGTCGATATCTCTGGCTAACTAGTAGTGGATTGTGGCATAGTGAGGTTTAATTCGGAAGTATGGTAAATGGTACGCGATATTTTGAAATCTCTCGGAAATAATTCAATGAAAATCGTAAGTCCTAATGAAACGGATATATTAATGGCTTGCTAGAATCTCATTCTTTTCTTATTCTATAATGTTTGTTGTGTATATATGTGCCATTTTGAGATGATATATTAACCGCTAATAAAACATTCCATGACAGTTTTGATTACAACTTTATTGGGAAATGCCAAATTGGTTCTGAATAACCGCATTGGTGATGTGATATGATAAAATATGGAGAGATGCATGATCCTATACCATCAATAAAAAATACTAATATTCAATTTCCTATTCTCACAATTACCTTATACCGAGAATATCAGCTAGAGGTGACAAATGAATTAGATTTATATATTAATGAATTGAATCAACGGATGCATAAATCTAATGGATTGATGGATTAGAAGATTGATAGATTAGAATCATGAATACAAGTGACCAGCACAATGTATTTCTTCAAAGCCTATATCACCCATTTGAAGCTAAGGTAGTGCAATAACCAACGTGGCCGGCCTCCGATGGTCCAACGCCAACTCTGAACTAAAATTTGGCAGTCGGGAAATAATGTCACATCACATGGCTAAGTCTAATACCATCTCAGCTGGTATATGATGGTCCAGTCCATTATTTAGAAGGCTATGGAGGCAGGCACTGCGAATTGCCATAGATACCTTATCCACAAGTCATCGATGGTTTCCCCGATTATGGCACATATATCCAACTTTTACGAAATATAAACAATGAAACCTGCATATGCATGTGAGCATGTCATCCTCCAAGCCATTCATTACATGCAGTACTGTGCCGGTAGGAAGTAGGGCTGGCAATTTGGTCCAGTACTGTTTGGTTTTACCCGAAATCGGACCGTATAACCCGGATCGAGATCGGACTGGGACCGGATAGCAAACAATTCAATTTCATATTCGGGCTTAGATTTGAGGTAAAAAACCCGGATAAAGACCGGATAAGAGACCCCAACACTCAAATCCCCACAAACTCAATCTAAAATCAAAATCAAATTGAGACCGGACCGGGTCAAGACCGGACCGGATCAAGACCAGAATGTATCCAATCCAATCTTTAGTCCTTATATTCCCGAAAAAACCGGACTGGAACCGAATCAATTTGGTCCAATTTAACCAGACCGGACCGTATAACCACCCCTAGTGGGGAGGACACCCTAGCTACATAGCTTCCCCACCTAATCCTTGTACATATAGTTTGGATTCCATGTGATCAGATCTTTGATCTCGTGATTAAAGGATGAGGCGGTCAAGTACACCGACACAATACCCTATCTAATTCACCAAGACGAAGATATCTATTTCGGAAAATATTTATCATTAAACGATTTGGCCTTAAGGTGTAGCTCGACAAAGTACTGAACAAACTCTCGACTAGAGGTACTCGTTGTTCGATTCAATCCAAAACCAGAACAAACCGTGATAAGATCGAACAAAATATGAGGAATACAAATGAAAAAAAAAAATACAAGTTTGGTTCGTTTGATGTCCAAATTCAATTTTGATCCACTTTTATTTTACATTTGGATTCATTCATACAATCAAATTCGAATATTCGAATTGAAATATATTCAATCTAGTTGGTCTGATTTAAACCCAATCATGACCCACCTCTACTCTCTAGTCTCAACTCAAGCAGTATTGTACGCGACATGAACATGGTTAGGCGGTGGCCGGCTTTCAATTAAGGAGGACATTTGATAGAAACCTGCATTTCTGTTATTTTTAGCATTTGGACTCATTTGTTAATTTATGATTGTTTGAGGATTTTATTGAGCATTTGGGGTTATGTTTGGGGATTAATAAGTTGGGTAGCTATAGGAAATTATGTGTTTGCTATATAAACCATTTTGTTACGTGGGAATAGAAGTTAAGCAAGCTTAAACCTAATTGTGTTTCCTAATCCTCTCTCTTTCCTCTCTCCGCCGAATCCTCTCCTCTTCCCTACTGCCACCACCGCAGCTTCTACTTCTCTTCCCTCTCAATTCCCTAAGTTTTCTTCTTCCTCACACTTCCTTAACAAGAATCGATCACTAGCTCGGTGATCCGCTCATTTCTTTCATCTTCATCGAAATAGATAGAAACTGATATCCAAGTTTCTATCAGCATTCCTGTTCGAAATGATAGTATGTTGGGCATTAAGAATGACATACAAGAAGAAGATATACCCTAACTACCATTTAATGCCCCAACCCAATCCTTGTCGTACCTGGATGTCCTACTTCCTTCCTAGCTACCTAATCGACACACACCATGGCCTCATTTGATATCCAACCATCGAATTCAGTTACGACATTAAAGCAGAAGATGACTTGTGCAACAAAAACAAAACATAAATAATATAAAGACTAGAAAAATCAAATTATATATATTTAGTAGATCGATCCTTATTCTCTGAATTGAAACTCCAAATTTGTTTCTAATGAAATTAGACGACCCACAACTGTTCAAGTTTTAGAATCACCTCAAAAGTCTCTTAAATATGTTTTTTTTTTGTTGCAAAAGGACTAAACTGAAAAATAAAATACTTTGGTCAACCTGTTGGAGGCGTGGATCTTGGCACCCGAGATTATAGTGATAGGACGTGATTTGGAACAGAAATAAGGAAGAATTAGACGAAGATTTGGAGAGACTAAGAGCAAGAACGGGCAGGCGGCTCATTGAAGGAGAGGAGAAGAATTTAAGGTTTGGGAGATACGTACGCGTAGAACTATTCTTTGATTATTTCCTGATTGATTCCTAACTGAATGAAGAAATTACATTATATAGGCTATAGGCTAACCCTAATCGACTTACTATAACCAAATACCAAAATACCCTTAAACTACTACTCATACCCTCAACACAACCTCGCTTTTCAAAGATGAGAGGATGAACTAGAAACTAGATAGTAGTAATCACATACAACTGTTGATAAAATACTGCATGTTTTAAATTGCATATAATTTATATATGAATATTTTTTTTCAACTAAACAAACGTCTAGAGTATGTCAATGATCATAAAATATATAAAATTAATTACTTTAAAAATATGTCAATGATCATAAAATATATAAAATTAATTACTTTAAAAATAACTAAGCCAATTTAGAGTTC